AATTTAATTCCTCACTATACAGAAGACACAGGGATTATATGGAGGAAGATTACATACAGTTTTCAAATATGATAAAATATCTGTATCTGAAAGTGAAAGAAAAAAGATAATCATGTTTAATTTATGAGTATTCCTTGATACAAAGGAAAGAAAAGAGCAAAGAATGTAATAGGAATTGTAAGATAATATTATTGCCTCATAATAAAGTTACTTTAACCACACTAAAGTGGCAATTCTTTTAACAATAATTGAAGAAAAATAAGCAATAAAATGGAATAATAATCATGGAATGCATGTTAAATAAATTCCAGAGGAGAATGTTACTGAAATACTTGACACAATATTAGTAGGCTCTGCAATATCTAATTTTTACTGTCAGATGAGCAACTTTTCAATAAATATGAATATTCTTTTACCTTTCTTGAGTAAAAACAGATAAATCTAAGCTCCAACTTAATGGCTAATTCACATGCACAGTTCTTCACTTGACAACATTTATACATTAAGAGTCATAGTGTGACAGGGTGGCTTTTGAACCAGAGGTGTGTTTTACAAGTATGGCAACCGACACAGAAAAACAGAAGAGTAGAGGCTTTTATGCTTTTTACTACATACAGTGAAGTGATTTGCAACTAGTATTTACAACAGGAATGTACAGCACAATTCTGGCATTCACCTGTTGTCAAATTGCCTCCCAAGTCTTCCTCCACTATCCCCCTCTAGCTCTCCTGCTTCCTCCCCCTTTCACTTGGTCTCTCTCCCCCATGTCTGGGCTTATCAAGAGTAAAACCGAAAAAGAAAGGAATGGGCTGGATTTACTGTAATGCGTAAAATTTTTCTTCTGGATCTGCTCAGCTGAGCATCTGTTTAGGGGAAGAACATTTCTCAGGGTCTTCTGTCCAGTCCTTTCCCAGAGACCAGTGAATGACAAACCATTGTTTCCCATCTTGGATCTCAGGTGAACCTCTTGTCCCTCTGAGTCTTCACTTCCCTTCTTCCAGGGAAGACCTTTTTTTCCTTTCCCAACCAGGAACCAATACCTGATCTGCACACTCATGTAACTTCCCTCCCCAACCATTTCATAATTGCAGTCTTTTGTTTCCTCTCCTTTTCTTGCTCTCCAACTTTGGATCAATTGGAAGCATGTCCCATAGCAATTGAGGAGGCAAATGCCCCCCAAGGCTCTAGTCCTCAGCACCTATATACCAGGCTGGACCACTTACTGTAGCTATATCTCCCCACAAGAACCTTGGTTAGCACTCAGGACAGTTCATCATCATTCATAACATCATATCTGATCTTCAAGACCATAACTGAATTTCTTCTCCCGCTTTCTAACTCCATTTGCTGACTTGCACCAGTACAACTACAGCCATGCTAGGTCACTGAAAACCATATGCCACAAACTGCTAATAAACTGTCCTATGTTGGCACAATAATACAGTCTTATAAATTTTACCCTGTTCCTTCCTGAAAACTATTCACTTTTATCTCCGTTAGAAGATTTCTTTAAAAAAAATCTAATAGTAGAAATATTACTAGAAATGAATACATCTGTAATCACAAGTTAATACCAAGGAGGGCTCAAACTATATTCTGAAACAGGAAAGAACTTAATAATGGATTGTAAACTGAATTTGGTTTCTTGAGGAACTACTTCATTTTAACAGTAAGCTACTAACATAAGCTACTTATAGTTGTCATACTTAACTTGAAATTGCATGAGCAATTCCTACTGAAATGTTTAGGAGCCAGAAGGTTTAAGTGAAGATAACATTACTACTTGCTCATTGTCATAATCA